TTTATGGGGTCGGAGATGCTTCCTTCTGCCTGTTAAATACATTTGCACAAAACCTTTATACCCTTTTAACCCATTTTAAATGGTTTTTTGATATCCGGATTTTGAAGTCATATTTCGTCAACATGAGTATCGGAACACTCATCTACCGTAATAAAATTGCAGTCCGACAAAAGACATGGTCCCAGACGAGAAGGTTCAATTTGCATGCTTTCAAGGGATACCCAAAAGATTTGTCCGGAACAAAGTGCCGATTATTCCTAAATGGTAATAATTGAAAATAAATCATCATATTAGCATAGCTATTAACAATTGGTTTTTGGTCATTGATTGTAATTGGTTATTGTTTTGCTCAGCTACGCAATTTGTTTCACACTATTTCGGCCAAAATTCAAAGACGTTCACCGGCACAAAAATGTCTTCGTGGTTATTTGTAGCGGCAACTCATTGCTCATTAGGCGCATCCAAAACGAGACAGACCAACCCAGAGCTCTACACACACACACACACACACACACAGATGAGGGCCAGTTAAATGACGGCAAACATTAAGCCGAACCGAACCCAAGTTGGCCCTCGTACTTGAAATGGACTCAAACAAGTTGAGGTAGGTTAATTTTATTGGCCAAATAAGTGGGTATCAAATTTAATGGCCACAGCGCAAGAAATAAGCAACAAGCAACAAGCGGCAGCAGCAAGAAGCCGCAGACGGCCAAGACGAAGACGAAGACGAAGACGAAGAAGATGGGGAAGAGAAGACGAAGACGAAGAGTGTAGACAGTGAAAGCAAAAAGCAACTATAAAAGGGGGAGGCAGCAAATTGCGGCACAGTGCGCAGTGCATAAAGCGTAAAAATGAGCCAAAATAAATAAAAGCCGCAACAACAGCAACAACAGCAGCAACAACAACAACAACGAAGACGTCAACGTCCGTTTGATTGATTGGCGACAGCAGCGGAAGCGTCAGCGCTGTCGACGTCGACAGCAACAGCGACGTGGCGCACATTGACGTCACAAGTTAACAAAATGGCTTTTGCGTAAGGTCAAGCATTTTGCAAGCTGCCACATACACACATATGTTTGTATGTATGGTTGTATGTATCGATGTCGGCCAATCTTTTGGCTCAAATTCGTTAAAAAAAAAAGAAGCTTTCAAAAATAAGTTGAGTTCATTAACTAAAAATGAACGAGAAGACGATATTTCACATCATTGTGGCAATAATCAATAATTAACCATTACGTAAGCCGATTTGCATTTGAAAACATTTTTAATAGAGCTTCGCTCGCTTTTAGTTCTGTATTTCAGTTAAATAAGAATTATAAATAGCATTTTTTGCAAAAATAATATTACATAAGAATATTATTTTAATATTGCAACAAAAATAAATGCTCGCTTAATATGTAAAGTGCTAAGGCTAACAAATGAAGTACTGGTAACTGGAATCACTCTTCATAACCAAATTAGGCAGCTCAATTAATGAAGAAAAGTTTGCAACTGTTGCAAATGGTGACTTGAATTAATAAAGTAAATTTTGCATAATAGAAAATGCTGTTAATTCATTTACTCGATTGGGTAATCGACAAAGCTTACAATGTGTAGAAAGTTGGGGCTTCTGACACCTTCAGAGCTCAATTCAACAGCTGATCTTCATGTCCAACTATCCATCGACAATTTGTTTGCTATTTTTGTCTGTTTGTCTGTGTGGGTTGACTAACAAAATTCTTCCGCAATTTACGCACAACACAACACATTTCTGTTGTCTAGGTTGGGTTTTGAGTTGGGAGCAAAGAGTTAACCCAACCGATTTGGAAACTTAATAATTTTCACGTGTGCCTCCACTGTGTGCTCCTTTTGTCTATCAAGATCGTGTGATCTGTGCTAGCTACCTCCTAGCCTGCCATCAGCTCTCTCTGCCAGCCAGCCAGCCAGCCACCATCATGGCAAACGCTTACGCATCATTTAATGGGGTTCGTGAAAGCATCGCGCTGACTCAGCTGATGCACAAGCTGTTGATGAAAAATGCAGACCGCTTCCTGCTAGCACCCACTGTGGAGCTGTAGAACTGTAGAGCTGTAGAGCTGTAGAGCTGTAGATCGAACGTCGCAGGAGCCGGCAAGGCACCCACCAACTGGGCATACAACTTTATCACTTGCCCACAAAATATCTTCAATTGGTTCCATTAAACTTAAGCAGCGTTAAGGCCAACCAACGTGCACGTTGTACATGACCAAGGCAGTCGCTTCGTGCGTTGCCATCATCATCGTCATCATTGGGCCGCCGCGTCGTGCCCAAAATTAACCTGCCCAGGTTAGCATGGAGGTGGTGGTGGTCGGAGGTGCTGGTGGTGTTGGTGGTGTTGGTGGTGGCTTTAGCCGCATGATCATGACGACGCAGGCTACGCGCAGCCGCTATAAATTCTATTGGCGTATCTATCTACACTATTTCTAATTTAGCCTTTTGCCTCAGCTACAGCTACAGCTACAGCTACAGCTTTGGTGCGGTTTGGTTTGGTTTGGTTGTTGGAGTTTTGTGGATCTGTGGCTAAGTTTACTATGTTACCTTAGTCGTCGTCGCTGGCCAATTTAAGTTTAAGTGCTTTGGTAACAGTTTCGCGCTTTCGAAACTTGAGTCGTGATTTATTTTTTTTCTTTCCTTCTTTCTTCCTTATTTTTCTCCTTTTTTTGTAGTCTTTGCTGTTGTTGTTGTTTCCCCACCTCGCAAGTTGCGACTCCGATTCCTTCAGAGCGCTGTAGGAATTTTCAAGTGCCGTTTTTCACGCCACGACACGCAATCGCTGCGCTCAAGTAAATTAGGAAAATTGATCTAAATTTTCTTGGGAACCTTTCCATTTTTCAGTTGTTGTTGCTGTTGTTGTAGCTGCTTGCGCTTTTTTGTCAAGATCGTTTGCAGTGTGGCATGGAGCGACTGCAAATCGGCGAGCAACGAGCAACGAACAACCCATCAAAATCAAACACATGTTGTCGTCGTAACTAGTAACTAGTAATTGGAGCTACGACTGCCAGAGCTAAAAAAAATTAACAAAAATAAATAAAACAAAATTGGCAATTGATAGTCTAGTCAGCATTAATTTAGAAAGTTCAGCGGCAAAATACTACAACTGCATTCATTGATTTTATTTATCACTCCTCCTATGACAAATACAATAAAAGCTTTATGTCAACTACCTGATCATATCCTAGATTATTCGAAAATGTTAATGAAGTATTTTAAATATACGCTTATGGCGTATCGAAACCAATATCATCATCGAATATACCCAGTATTCAAATCCAATTTCGTACAAGCAAAAACAAACTTTAAAGAGAAAGCAAGCGAATGGAATACATTCCACTTGATGTCTTGAGAAGTTATATATGGACCACCCTGAAATATGAAACCAACTTTCGACGATTCTTCTTCTGTTATTGAATTGAATATGTTGAATAATATACGAATTAAGATATTCTTCGTTGTCACTTTTATATTGAAAACAAAACAGCCAACTACGATTGGCTGATTCCTAAAATGCCTAGATAATTTATCTATCCGTTGCATGATTAAGGTAAATTTTTATACATTCGCACATACATATTGCACATCAGAGATCAGTAATCTTTGTGCTGATTTCACACATCTTAAAGCTGCTTGGAGGCAGAGGGCCATCAGTGCGAGTATTCGTCGTTATTCAGAGCATGAAGGCAATCAGGAACCGCATTAATTTCAGCTACACAACGTGGTGCTAATGCGACAAGTTCTGTTCGCAGGCTGTTTGCGATTTCCTGGAAAGAGTTTCCCTCCTCACTTGAATCGAATTGAAACACCAGGCATCGTTGATTATATGATAACCAAAAATGAAAAGAAAAAAAGCCAGCGCGTCGAATGGAAGCAGAGCAGAGCCTGACAATCTCCAATTTGCCATCAACTAACTGAGTGAGTGACCAAGGCTCTGGACAGGCAGCGAGTGCGCAAAGATAGCGCTTAACCATGGCCAGCAATTATAAGGTATACAAAATGCAATCAGGGTTCAGAGGGCAAAAGTAGAAAAAGGAGACCAGCTACCACCAAAGACAGAGATGGATGGGGAGAGAGAGAGAGAGAGAGAGAGAAAGGCAGTGGGGGGGGGGTGGGGGGAGGAGAGCCTCCAGCTTGTATCGCTTCATTGGCAGCTTTGCACGTCGTCGTCGTCGTCCTCGTCTTCGTCGTCGTCGTCGTCGTCGTCGTCATCGTCGATCAATGCGCCTGTAGCGCCGCATCCATATCAAGATGTTTGAGCTTATTGAGTCCCGCTAAATTCAGGCAATCGTGATCCAACTCGCTGCTGAAACAGAATTCGGCAGCAATTTTCCAAGGCACACTGTAAACTGGCGATGCGGCGACAGATTCGTTTTGGGCGCTACGCAAGTCCACAGTCCAATGCCCAGATCCCCAAGTGCATGGCCAGCTGCAATGCTGGCTGCGGGCGCCCACAACGCATACACACAGCGACAGAAAGAGGGACAGTACCAAGAAAGAGGCAGAGAGAGATAGAGAGAGAGACAGAGAGAGAGAGAGAGAGAGAGAGAGTGAGACAGGGAGAGAGCCGTGAGGCTGTAGGCCAAGAACTGCAGCCTATCCACAGCTCCACGTTTAATAAGCAATTTTGATTTGGAGCAGATTATGTGACGGGCAAACGAGCCTCGGCACCAAGTTGTTGCATGCAACATGAGGCGGCTTCCGCGGACTGTGGATTGCGGATTGCAAAACGTGAGCTCCTCGAAGGCGATGGCAATGTCGAAGGCGTCTTTGCTGCACTTGACTCTGCTGCTGACCCGAACTAAAGATTTTTAACTCGCCCGCTCGCTGACTCTCTCGCTCTGGCTCTGGCTCTCTTCTCTTCTCTTTTCTTCTCTTTTTTTGTGTGGATCTTGGCTGATACTGTTTTACATGGAACTCGTACTGATTGCTTCTAGTCATGCCCCGATTTGAAGATTTCCCATTTTGTGATAACGTGTGCATCATTTTCATTGGAATTGCATGTATTTTTATTGAATTTTAATTGGCAGTCAAACAAGCAACAGCTAGTACAACATACAACTTGGTCGTCTCCATGATATGCACACTTGCACTGTTACCATATAAATACAAATACACTAAATGTAAATACATATATATGTAAATAGATATATGTAGGTATAGCTATGCATGTATGTGTCTAATTTTGATATACTCCTTGGCCTCTACTTAATCGATTTCAAATCCTTTTCGCATGCGTTATAGGCAACCCCAATACCAAATCCAGTCCCGATCAACATTGGCCAGACACGTCGGCGTAGGAACAACAGAGATATGACAGTTCCAATGATGAGCCCGCCACCACCCTTTATAATCCCATTGGCCAGACAACGATCGAACATCTTGCCGGGTTGCTCCTCCATGAAGGACTTGTCATCGACTGGCATTTTGAATATATATATTTTGTTGTTTCTATCTCAATTCGTTCTGATCTGTTAATCTGAAAAATATAATTCCCAATTCCTTACGAATTGTTGTGCTACTTGATGTGTCAAACCAATAATCTAGTCGAAGCTTTCACAAAGCCAACTTTATGTCACTTGTCTAAATAACAAAAACATGTTTTATTAATAGTTGCACTTCATGGTATTTAAAGAATCTGAAGAAAAAATAGAAAATGTATTGATAGTTGTAAAATCGATAAAATGGTTGGATGCATGAAATTGTTGCTGATGTTGGCTGCCACATTAGCAACTCTGCTGATGTGATTGAATGTGAAGAAAAGAGTTCATCTTGCACAGCACGCATGCTGCTGCTGGCAACGTGGCAAGTCGAACAACATTTTTCGAGGCATTGTTTCGCCACTTAACCTTTTGTGCAATAGTGCAGCGTGCAGTCGTTGTGGCAACAACAGAGCAACTGCATCAGCAGCCCTAAATCGATCACGATCGATTTCTGCCAAAATAGATAATAATCGATAAGCAGGCATGGCAAGCAAGTGCCTGCAACGGGCACAATCATGTGCAATCTTATCTTACGTATCTATCTATCCATCCACCGATGCATCTCTCTATCTATCTATATGGACATATATACACACACACACACACACACAATCGCAGACAGGTAATCATGTCAGTAAAAGGAAAATACCGCAACATTGATTCCATTACATTTCTCGTTTTGGCTCGATGGGAACTAGCCAAAAAAAACAGAAATAAGAAAATAAAAATAACTGACGACGACCGTCGTCTGTTGACGTGTTAAGTGCTAAACAGACGCCGACGACGATGGCTCCAAAACTTTGATATTTTGGTTAGCTTGTAGCTGTCTGCGGAGTGCAAGGCTATAATTTGCTCGCCCACCATTTCTGGGCTGGCCAAAACGAAGCCTAACTCGAAAATTACAAATTCGGGTGTTCAATGGAGTTGAATCCTTTTCTATTACTGCTGCTGCTGCTGCCAGTTTGTTGACCGGGCTCTGTGTTTAAAGAAATTGTTGCCAGCAGCTTGCTGCATCTGCAATTTAGTGGCCAACTTTGCCATTGTTGTGGCTGTTGTTGCTATTGTTGTTCTTGTTGCTGTTGTTGTTGTTGTAGGTGTCTGAAATTGGGTGTTTTTGTGGGTGTTTCGCGTTTTGCACTTTGGCACAGTTATTGCTGCAATCTTGAAAAATTCAACGAATTTATCCATCCATTTCCATTAGTGAATTGGGTCAACCGAAAGCCAATTAAAGTGACTGCATGGGGAACATCGCTTGAATGTTGCCCAATCTTCAAAATGGAAAACTATAATCGTTGAGAATGCAAATACTTCCATTTTAATTAGATAAGAAGCGAATCAAGTCTTTTAGTTAGAACCTAATGTAAAGAAAAATAATGTCTAAATTACTTGGTATTAATTTTAATTAATTTAATTTCGCAATTGTATTAATAACATATATTATTGTTGTTGTTAAACATTAGTATCTGAGCAATTCATATATACAATTATATTAGATAATATAAAATAATAAAATAATAAATTCGAAATATATTTCTTAATGATAGAAAATATTTCTTAAAAACTTTTCTTTATGTACGATTCAGGGCGAATTTTATTCTGTGTGTATCTTAATTTTAGCAAAGGTTTGATTGGTAAGTTCAAAAATAAAGAAGAAGAAGCGCAGACAACTAGAGCTCAATTCTGACAACAAATTGGCCAAAGCACTTGGCCTATAATAAAGACATTTATGGGTCTGGGTGATTCAATTGTGCGGCAATCCACAATTTTGTAATCAAACAAACAGGGGGGAAGTGGGTAAGATAGAGAGCGAAAGAGAGAGAGAGGAACAGAGGGAAAGAGAGAGCAAAGAAGTCAATTGATCAGCGCTGAAACCACTTGAAATAATGCGACTCCAATTCGGACTCCAGCTTGGACTTGAACAGCGATTCCCTTGGGGCAACGCACAACGCTGCGTGTGTATGTATGTATATAGGTGTGTGTGTGTGTGTGTGTGTGTGTGTGTGCGTGCATTCATTGGGTGGGTGTCCCTAGTCAGACATCGTGCAAATATAACAACAAGAACAATAACAACAACAACTCAATGAGCACATGCTCAACTTAAAATGAAAAAGAAAAGGCAAAAGAAAACATGGCCCAGGCCCGAAAGCCATATGGCCAACAATTCAGATTCGGGCCAGCTATAGCTGAGCCTGGGCCTGAGCCTGAGCTGAGCTTGAGACTGGGTCCGAGTCTGGGTCTGGGTCTGGGCCATAGCACCGGCTTGGGCTCATTATAGATGCAGCGCCGATTTGTTTTGTTGTCCCCCCCATTTGACTTTGAATTGATAACATCAGGCAGCAGCCGGCAAACGGTTTAGCAGCAGACTCCTTCCGACTCTCCCTCTACTTGCAACTGCATCTCCCAGCCTCAGCTCCACAACTACAAATGTGACTGGGGCACTGACTGCTGCCGCTGCTGATTTTGCAGCTAGCTGCTAGCGGGTGCAGCAGCCGCAGCAGCCGCGGCAGCGACCCGTTTTGCCTCCATTTAAGATATAAATATATCCGAACAATTGAGCTAGCATTGCATGCGCATGTGCAGCGCAAATATTTTAGACTCGCATAAACTTTGCATAGTTTTAGATGCGACGCACACTGTCCCCAACCCATGCAGATATCCAATCAAATCTATATACATATATAGCATGAAGCTCGCATATCTTTCCAATTGAAAACAATTTAGTGATTATAAAAATATCAAGTGCGACACATATAAGGAAATATATTTAGCGAAATATATTGATGGTCCATATGTGTTTTACTCTGTATCCCGTCCAACAGAATGCAATTTGAAGGAATTCTTGAAAATATAGATCGATTTTCAATACAATAGCAAAACGTTAACAAATGTATAAGAAAAAAAGTGTATAACTTTAGCTAGTGTTCTGTAATCTATGATCTTACCAACAAAACTAACTTTTTGTTGAAGCAAGTCGAAGCCTCGCCACTAGCTAGGCTCAGTTTATCCAGGCTAATATTTAACTGATCTTTCCGATCGCTTATACAGTTGCTTAATTTGACCTTAAATCTTAGCCAATTTTCGAACCACTGTTTGACCATACTGCTCTCGCCAGCTCCGGCGCTTTCATCTGGGCCCGCACCGCGCTGCCTTTGGCCTGGTTCGCTGCGTGTTGTCCACGCATTCGTCGTCGTCGTCGGCGTCGTCGTCGACGGGCCCGTCGGCTGTTTAGCTGCGCATTTTATTTAACATATCATTTAAAATTCATGTAAAACACATGTAGCTGTTGCTGTACACAGAGTATAGCGTATACCATATAGCATATAGAGTGGAGCATGGAGCGTGCAGTGCGGGGCGTAGAGTGGGCCTGCCCTGTTTTGCATACCGTGGGCATAAAGTACATGGGGCAACAACAGCAACAGCAACAGCAACAACAACAGACAACAACAACAACACCAACAACAACAGACAACAACTGCATTCGCATAGACATCACACCCAAGCGCCAGGAGCGAGCTACATTCACATTCACATTCACATTCTCATTCACTGCCAAGTGTATAGGTTCGGGTGCATATCCAAGCAGGCTGGCCCGCTGGCCCGCTGTCCATGTGGCCAACTCGCATTCATATGCAAGCTCAGACTGAGGCTCCGATCTCAGTCTCGTGTATCTGTGCGCATATCTCTCGAAGCTGGAAGCTTTTTAGTCTGGGGTCTATATAGTCGGCCTGGATGAAGATGTCGATGTCTCCGTTGCTGTAGCTGTAGCTGTTACTGCTGCTATTATTGTTGTTGTCGCTTGTTGCATGTTGCATTTAATTTGTAAACAAAGTCTTTAGTTTATGACTGGCGCGTTATTTTAGCATATGCACATCTTGGCCCATGGCCAGCATTGAGCATTTTGTATGAAATTTGTAAACAATTCGGTTCGCTCGAGCCTGTTGCCAGTTGCCAGTTGCCAGTTGGCAGTTGGCATTTGGTAACGCATTTATCTGCAATTTACATATGAGCACCCCGCCTCAGCCGCCTCAACTTTCTGCTTGGACATTGTTGACACAGGGTCATTTCATCAATGTGAGTGGAGACGCTAAGGCCTGACTTTTGGCTTTCTTCCCTTCCCTTCCCTTCCCTTCCCTTCCTTTCTCTATTCCTCTCTCTCTCTCTCTCTCTCCCTCTCTCTCTCTCTCTCTCTCTCTCTCTGTTTCTCTCTCTGGCTCTGGCAGCCATAACAAATCACCAATGGCTTGGACCGACACTAAATGCAATTTATAACACTCTTTTCTTTTGTTGTTGCTGCTGTTGTTGCTGCTGTTGTTGTTGTTGTTGTTGTTGTTGTTGGGCAGATTGTCAAACAACTTGACTTAAAGGCAACTTAACGAGCGCTAGCTGCCCGCCTCATCATCATCATTATCACTGCCATCATCATCACCACTGCGTCATCGCAGTCATTGGACTGAACGACAACTTCATTATGGCAGACGACGCTGTCATCAGCATCAACACACGACGGCACGAAAAAGCCATCAAAAGCGCGGGTAGCACGTAAAATGCAACAAGAAATGAAAAATCACTTAAAACTGAAACACCGAATCTCAAATTCTCTTCATCTGACAGAAGTTTCAAAGCCATTCAAATGCCTTATCGATCATGGCCAAGCCACAAGATTAATATAGCAATTAAGCATTGAGACTTTGTAAAAAACTTCATAGTATAGAAATGACTTTACGCCCAAAACGTACTTATTTAATAAAGTAAAAGATCAAACTATATATATATATATATATATATATACCTGCTTCATCGATTATTCATCGCACTCCCTTGCAGCATAGGGCATTAGATGCCCTGCCCAAACACCCATCGCCCTGGCAATGCACTTGCCAGTTGAGTTTTTATGAACGCTTGGGCTTTAAAATAAAACTACAGCGCCATGCAGCACATGAATAATGCAAATGCCAAGTAGAAGAAGAAGAAAAAAGA